GTATCTGGTGAAGAAGCGAATGATATGTTTCTATTTAAAACAGGTTTTTGTTAGTGATGTACAAAGTATCTTTATTTCTTTATCAAAACCAGTTGCTCGTCTGTGTACTGCTCTCAATTACTTCCATACCCATTATTTTTATCTCACAACGGATCACTTAGGTACTACGACAGCATTCAGCTGTGTACTCCAAAGCCCACTGAAATAGTTAAGAAGCTACGTGTAGCATTAATCTGTTGTTCAGATCCAAGAATTCTTGTTCATTTAAGGTTTTGACAGCGACAATCTGAAAGCCGTTAGTCCAATCAAGGCTTACCTCGACAACTACACGTTCTGCCGGAAACATTTTGCATCAGGTAAAAGTACTTAAAAAAGACATTTTAAAGATTAATTCAGACCGAGGTATGAAGTTACAGGAGGCTAGAGACAAACGCTGCGCAAATCATTATTTACCATCTATAGTTACGGTCTAGAAGCTAATTTTTTTATCGAGGGAGATGACGAACACACACGTAAATGCTGCCAACGTTCTTATATGATGAAATTACAAATACGGTGACAATGTTAAACTTTCAGGTTGCATATTTCATACTTAATGAGCAAAACAAAACCTGTACTGGTTCAAAATATGCAAAAACACTGACGACTAAACTGTGTAACTATCATTTTATAGTTCCTGTTTGACTCGCTAAATAAACCAACTCGTTAGAAGCAAAGCAATCGTCATAATTTATTCTTGTTCCATTTTTTTGAATGTGGTGAACACAACCCAATTCTAAGAGAAAATAAGTTCAACATACACTACATAACAAGACATAACTTATTACACTGTTGCTTCAATTCACCTAAACTGCTGTCATGGCATAGAATACATTACAGAAGTAGACAAGACGAAGAAAGACAGGGAAAAGGGAAATAACAAAATGAAAGTGCATTGCGAGACTAAGGCACCTCATTCTCCTAGTTCGAAATGACATATATGTGACCCCCCCCTTCACCGCTTCCACTCTAGATTTAAACAGGAAGGACTCATTTCTTGGTCAGTAGGAACAATATTAGATCAACAGCCATTATAGGCCATTAGAGTTGTGTTGATCGATTATCGAAAGAAATAAACAATAGTGGCCAATACAAAAACGATACCTCTATAAAAGATACTAACATCATTCGCTTTCCCGTCGTGGCATAGAAAGTGCTCTTGCATCCAACTGTCCGTCTGTCCATGCTTACAATTTGGTGACGACGTGACAGGTTTGCTCAAGGTTTTCTAATTACCCAACCAAGCATAATGGGCACTAAGTACCATCAGTGCTATGCGTTGTTTTATGCCGTAAAATCAGCAGTTCCATAGGCTTAAATACCACAGTAAGGATTTAAAAGCCAATATACTCCCCTTCAATGGCAATCAGAATTTTCGTGTTCAGTTGCAATTGTGGATACAAATCGTCCTTCTTTCGGAGCGAAATGTGTGTGTGTCCGTCCGTCCGGTTCATGACTGACTTCGCCTTCCTATGCTTCAACGTTGTTCATACCTACTCTTCACTGTCCATCTCGAATATGCTCTTTTATGAAGCAAATAATCCACAAACCTTACTATGGAATTTCAATAACCATTCAGAGTGCAGCAGACCTACAGACCTATAAAATTTCCAAATAACTGTAACCCTTATCGACATCACGTTCATATACTGTGGGCAAAGCTTAATTAACAGCGGTTAATACACTGCAAAGTCACTACACTTTACGAACCAGGGCTGTACGTTTCATTAAATACACTCTAAATAAAAACAAGCATCTCAAATAAGTTACAAGTCGTCATGACGAAATGTCCGTACAGCCCAGGCTGAGTACGGTCATAGACCGCTCATGCATGTATGCCCGCACTGTGTGTTGAGACGGGGACAAACTCTGAGGAGTCTTACAACATACCTAAGGGTAAACTGTTTCATAATTAGTGAAGTCGTAAAGTAACAACTGTGATAAAGGTGACAATATTTAAAGCATTATATTTAACAAGGAGGAGCGTTTTCAACTATGGTATTTGACATTGCTTTATGAAAGAGTATCTTTGATTCTTGTATTACGTATTTGTGGTTTACCGACCAACATTTTACTGGTCGTATTGTGGTGTTGTTAATGAGTTAGACCATCAGTTTGGACAAATATCACCAAAATACTTGTTCGTGTTGGCCAAATGTGAAACGTAAGCCATTTATTCTTCACTGTACTTTTTTTCCCCAGTGTTTCTGTAGATGATGAACTCGCACACAATTTGCAGCAAATGTTTGTATTGCATTTCTTCCTGCTGGACGCCTTGTAGATATGGGCTCATCATCCTGTCTGTTCGGTTCCTTTAGATAGGAATGTCACCATTTCAGGTTAAACAGCTGTTTTGTCGCGCAAACAAAAATAATGTGGCATATCAGCCATGAAGGCCAGTCACTGTGCACCAAGCAGTGCCTGTATGACACTGATGTGAAATTTAGGGTTTTCACGGGGGTGAAGATGAAGATGGAGGCAGTACGCTTCTCCTAAAGGTGGCATCTACCGACCAGTCAACAAGGAGTCAGAACTCAAAAGAACATCGTAAACGACACCGATGTTTCAATATCAAAACAGTGTTCTGCATTCGACTCTAACTCTGTCCATTGCATGGCCTTAACAAGATTACTTTCCCAGCGACGTCATTGTTTTCTACTGTGACATTACCCTACCACATCTTTAGATCTTTGTTCGTAGACCTCTGTGTTACATTATCAGCCCATTTACACGCCAGTGACTTAATTACAACTGCGACACTCAGTGAAAAGAATAAATCATAACGGTATTTGTTTCCTTTTCAACCATAGGATTGTAGTAAAGCACACATGAATATCACAAAGCACAAAATATGAGACGGCTGTAGGAAATGCGAGTGTCGTGTACCTCAGGGACGATCTCGTAAAATAAATATGAAGTGATGTCTTTTTTTTTCTCCTTTTTTAAAGAGACTTATTTAGAACTCTGAGTGCTTTTTGTGTTCAATTGCTCTCGTCTGACAACAAGAGTGGTAGTAAGCACTAGCAATGAAACCCCGTCCATCTTGATCACATGTCCCTCCTGTTGGACGCTAATTGAGTAATTGTGACATTCCCTACAAGTAATCCAGCCACACGTTTGATAGTTTCGAATATACAGTTATACCAGTCTACTCGTATTTACGTTTCAATAGTGTTGTCCCATCTATGTCTTGGTCTACCACACCACATCCCGACTATGATTTGGTAGAATGATGTTTTCCCGTTCGTTCTACATGTCTAATCCGCTGTTTCGTTCTTGATCAAACACTAAAATAACATCGATGATAATGATGATGATGATAATAATAGTAATAATAATCGGCCAACATCGCGGGCGAGCACATTACGGAACTTCATAAAACCGCTATTCTAGGAACATCATACATCGTTCGAAAGACGCTCATGTAAAATATACAAAAATGCCTCACAATAAATATATATAATACATGTAATACTTATTAAAAACAAAATGTATTTCGGAAATAGTTGCTGCACTATGTACCTCAGGGACAAGGTTTGTCTCAGGTACATAGAAGTAAATACCCTGTAATGTGGTGAATAGATGGAATAATAATAATTCATCTATGTCCGTCTGACCACTCCTTCGAAATGGCTGTGAAAACAGGGTGCTGCACTACCGACAGGCGAAACACCTGAGCTCATTGAAGCAGACGTACTAAGAAGAAGAAGAAAACCAAACAAGGAGTAAGAATAAAAACAAACAGGCGCTGTGTTTGGACACGGGATATCGCTAACAGTACCACGCCACATATGATGAGAAGCTGTGTTTGTATTGCCTTTGCCCATTGTTGGAGTCCAGTGGCGGCAGCTGGAGCTGCAACCATATGACGTCACCGCAGAGTGGTAGGCAGAGCAAGAGCGGAATAAGTGCAAATTCGACCATGAGGAGGACGCAATAGCCCCAGCTCCTGTTCTCGATCTGAAAGGTTTCTACTCAGTTAATGAGTGCGGTGATAAACTTTCATCTCCATTCAGTACCATTGATTACGAATGAGTAAGCCTTTCCTACACGCCTTCTTAAACAACGGATGGCTTGTGAAGAACTTGAAATTTGTACTGGCTGGACTGAATCTTGCTTCGACAGACATGGACCAGTGTTTGACGTGTAATTTATGTATAAGAATGGTTCTTATAAGGCTGCCAATTTTAAGCATTATTTAAACGACGAGCATAAAATAGGGCTTTTCCTACGTCAGCGAATTTTTATGAACAGATTTTAAGTAGGTTTTATACTGAGATTATTATATTAATATAACACTGCGTTTTAAACTTGTGGGTTTCGTATGATTCTTAAACACAATTCACCAGCTACTCTCTGTTGTGTTTTCTTTGAGGTGCGAACCAAATTCTTAAATATTATTTAGATGGGATTAGGATTCAAAGGAAGAAAATAACTCTTAGAATACAATCTTATCTAATCAAGTCTGTCATTTAACTTGAAATTTTAAACCATTAAAAACAAAATGTCCATTAAATCTAAATAGCGAGGCTTATTCAAGTAGCAACGCGTCAGACTTCAGTTCAGGGGATACTGGGTCAGAGTCTATAATTTCATGGCCTTCCTCAGTCCTTCCAACCAAATGGCCACCATGTTACCTGTGTCTACTACAGTGACGCATGAGTCAAATATATGGTCCTATAAATTATTTTCAGAAGAGACGCAGTGGGCCACTGCAGCATCCCTGCGCTTACCTGGAGTGGTCCAAGTCTCTCTTGTTGCCCAACAGCAGAGTGGTGAAGTAGGACGGCAGCTTCAGCTTGCCCAGTTTGTCCAGTAATTCGTGGGCATCATTGAAGCTGTTCCGGTCGCAGACGCTGTACACAACCACAAAGGCCTCTCCCCACCTGATGTGGTCGTAAAGACATCCCGTGGCCTGCAACAGAACGTCAGCGTAATTACAGTTAAGTTAGGAAGAAAGCGTCTGGAGACGTACGGATATCTACTGTATTCTATAACACGTGCAAACACTCAAAAACAATTGTGATTAATGTTTAGTCCATCCCAGCAATAGTCCCCCCCCCCCCCCCCGACTGACAAACTTCTGAAATAGATTCGGAGAGGAAGACACGTTATAATTGCCCGACTCTTCAACGAATTGTAGCTTCTTGCAAAAATACAAATAAGATGGGATGATTAACTGATTGTGAAGCAGAGTTTAGGCCCTATACTAAAATTCTTCCTTATCGTAAATAAAAACACATGATTTTTATATTTCTTTTATCAGGCCGCATATACATACAGGTATTAAAGTAGCCGGCGGTCATCTTAAGTTTCCGATGGATTTTATCTAATAAATTCTGACAGAACATATGCAATAACATGAAATTATGCAAACAGTTAAACTTTAGAAGTAGAAGAGAGTTAAATTTAATTTGAAACATTAGGCGGACGGTCAATACTTGCAGCTCGTTGAATGGGTTCCGACAGAGCAGCCAGTGTCCCTTCGGAATTCTGACAAGCAAAAACATATTCAGAGAAAGGTGACCTATATTGAACATGCTCCTAATATGGAATTCCGCTATACTGGGGAAACAAAACATGACAGCACTGTAACGAACCGCCAAATAGACGCATGGGTTAAATGAAGTCAAGTCCAGCAGTGTTTTATCACACAAATTTTGTTCTACTTTTTTACGAGGGCCTTTTATAAATGCTGTGGTACAATACAGAACGTTCAGATGCCTAAAATTACATGCTTGTATGTCAGATCTGTGAATAAGGTAATTATAAATATTAATACAATACTTTTCTCAATGTAAAGTAGCGTTGAGTTCCACAGATGCGCTAACAATTTTTCCTTTACAGTCGTATTCCATATTAGATATCACATTTCTTAATGCATGAAACCTCTGTATCTCCAGGAAATATTCTGAACACAAATCTGAACTTCTCATCACATTTACAAAGCATTACTTAGATTCTACATATTTTTAGCGTACTATAACATATTTTTTTCTAAAATTAAAAGTGTTAATAAAGAAATGCTTACTGTGTACAATACACAAAAAGTATTCCATATGCGGCACCTTTACTATACATAAGTAGACAGAAACACAAAGATATATGGAAGGTCAGAAATACGAGCAAATGTCCATGCGAGGAATGACAATTCTCTCTGCTCCATCACGCACCTCCACAACCATTCATCTGAACACAGAGAAAGTACTTTCACTCCTCAGTACACTTCGTGTTACGATGGCCTCTGCCTTCTGGGTCCTTACGTGCGTATTTTATTAATTTATGGGTTGTTGAAGCGTCATCTTAACCGTTCATAAAATCCCTGTGATGTTGGAAGAGTAGATCGTTCCAGACTTCAATGATCGTAAGTTCGAGTAGCTTCATTAAAATCAATCCGATAAAACCCGACGGCCCTACTATTTAGACCATATAATTTACATATGCAAGTATCTTTTATGTTACGTGCTTGTTGTATCCTGTTAAAGATTCAATAAAAATAATTCCATATAAATTTTCTGGTAAGAGTAACGTCAGCCATTAGGCATATGTTTATGTTTAAATTCTGACATTCCTCATGGAGTCGCAGCTGTTATTATCGGCGTCACAGCTCCTTGTGATATTCCACCAAGCACTATTAATTTCCAGTTAAAACTGTGAATAAGCATGTGGAATTTGAAGTCTTCACGGCGATGACGATAATGATGTTCTTCTGGGTTTTGGTCCAGTGTGAATAACCAGTTTAACATTTCGAACATTCATTATTTCCTTGCTGCATGATGGAGGCAGCACGGATTTCTGAAACGTTGGTAAACTTCTACCAGAGCACACGGCGCTACAACCCAGAAGACAGCCTCTGATGTCTGCCACTAGCAGCAGTTAGCAGAAACTAGCGGTGGTGCAGTCAGCTTAAGAATAATGATCGTACTCAATCTTTTCGGAATGTGAATGAAACAACAATGTAGATGGGGGTGTCTTGTGGAAGCAACTAACCAAACCCACACGAAATATGTAAAATCTTCCTGTTTCAAATGTTTGCTTTAATAGTTTAGAATCCTTCTTAAGAGATGAATGGACCATTCCATGCAACAGCGGCTTTCTGACCATTTGGAGGTGCGCCCAGCTTCTCGCTAAACGAATGCCTTAGTATGTAACTAAGAAACAACAACAGATTAATCAGTAACTAGATGAGCCATAAACTCGTTGATGGGCTGGTTGGCTGACAGACAGACTTGTTAATTAAATAACCTACCTATAGATAAATTTAGCTGCTCAACAAAATCTCTCGTGTTATGGAACCCGACGGTCCAACAGCGTCACAACAGACTCTCGTAAGTAAACCATTTCTTAAGAGAGTTTAAAGCAATTCACATCCTTAAAAACCATTTTCTCAGACACATTTTAATATTATCCTTCCGTTTATATCTAAGTTTCTGAAACGATCTCTTTATATATACTATTAGAATTTGCATAACAACGGGTTTCTTGTTGCTCAGTTCGTGTTACAATACTCGCCCACTTCAACTTTCGTTTTACTCATTCTTTGTTTAGTCTACGTTCAGAGCAAACAAACCAATTACTTTCTCGTTAGCCCCCATGCAATCTTTCCGACTTCCATATCAATTCACTTCTGTCCGGTAAAGTTTATGTTGTGCCCGTGTCCAAGGATGACACAATGGTGGGAGACAAGTCGATTTAACGTTCTGGAAATCTTCACGCATGTGAAAATACACCCTGCATCCACCAAGTAGGAAGCTGGGTCATACCAAACCGTTCTGAACATATGGATGGCAACGAGAAAACATCCAAAACACTACCAGTAATTAAATCTCGGTGATCCAGTCAGTGCCGAATAGTTCATGACTCATGTCGAAGCGCCCCCCCCCCCAAACCTCTAATAGCAAAGTCCGAAGTTTCAACACCGTTTGTAATAAAGCTCGCTATGAATGCTGTTCCAAAGCATTTAAAACCATTTCAAATCCTCACAACCCCTTACCCTATCACCTTTAATATTACCCTGCCATCGCCTGTCAGTCAGGTCGTCACTTCCCAGGAAGTTTCATAATGAAAATTCTGTGTGGTTCTCCTGTCTCCAGCATTTACCTGCTGCTCTTTTGGCCGGAATATTCTCCTCGGCACTCCATTTCTTCTTCAGCGGGAAAAGTTCCTTTCCCGTGTAACACAAAGGGCATCGTCTTGTGATCAGCGAACAACTTCGCGTGTGGATGACGTCACAGTTATAGGAAATTGGTAAGGGAATCTATTATAAATAATATAATAGTATGTAAGATTTGAGGTTTTCACTGCGGTGAATCGCCCTGATGACGGAAGCAGTATGACCTCTGACACGTTGGTAAACATTGACCACACTACACAGTGCAACAACCCAGAAGACAGAAATCTTCAATACAATAGTAATTGAAAACGCATTTGACCACTACACGACTTGAACTGGTACCCAGAACAGAAATCTAAAAATTTTTTTCAGCAAGACGTGGCCAACAATCGCGCAACGAAAGTTACGAGGCGCTCATAACGGTCGCACAGTCGCCAAGTAGTTTGTCCATAGTATTACATCTGAATACGTATTCCGCTGACAACAAATACGAGTCCGATGCGAAATATACGAGACTTTGTGACCTAAAATTCTGGTATCCTCGCTTCGACACCGCGTATGTTTGTCCCAGATACTTTGAATACCGTAGGACAGGGAAAGTATTTTGTCGGCTACTCGCCTCGGACGAGCAGGGTGTTCTCAACAAGAAGTGCTAACAGAGCACTTCGCGGGACATTTTCAGTTTCCCTGGTTTGGGCCTACCAACATTTCAGATGGCATTAGTTTGGCTTTAATAAAAGTGACCTTGTGTAATAGGTTATATGATAAAACAAGAAACAAGCGAGACGTTGCTACAGCGATTACGCCTTCAAAATATGCGGCCTAACAGTATTCTCCTTCACTTCCTTAGTATGCTGTTAGATGTTCCAATGTATAAAATTGCTATACAAGGACATAAGTCTTCCGTGTCGTTCAGAATGTCTATTAATTTTCGTTAGAACATGTTCTTTGCAAAGACTGAACATCTTCAATAATGCGTATTTTGTTGTGTTTATTTATTTACAAATAATTACCACAAATTCATTTTAATATCATCCTCCAGCCTGCCACAACATCTCTAGCGACGCACATCAGAGTGCAGTGAATGGGTTCGAGTCTATGTCTTAGGATTTGTTGCCACCCACCCACACGTAGGCAGATATTTTACGGTCCCCAGCTCTTCATCTCACTGGGAGATCACACAATGTATCGTAAAGTTATCATACAGTACGTTATGTGAACCATTGTTCTGATTTTGTGCAACGAACAAAAGACAGGCAGCAGCAGGAGAAGCTTGACTTCGTATCCCCTGCCCTTAGTTACGGAACATCTCTTGCAGGTGGTGTACGTCAGGTATGGACGGCCTCAAAGAAAGTTCTTAAAAAAACTTAGCTAAAGAGAACCAAAGACACAGAACGATTCAAAATAAATGTAGAATGAGACGTACAATTTTTAAACGTTTGCGTTGTGATACAATAGAAAATCTGAAGATTCCTGTCTTCTGAGTTGTTGCGCTGTGTAGGCAGGTCGATGTTTACCAACGTTTCTGAGGTCATACTACCTCAGTCATCTAAAGATATCAAAATTCATTACAATTAGCAAAGACAGAAAAAACATCCTACTTACAAAATTTACAGTCTGACCGGACTAGAAGCAATATTCTACGCCTAAGTCACTATTACAAACGGCCTGCAAATAATTAAAATATTTTTTGCATGTTTCTTCAGGATATTGTTATCAGACTATTCTTTCTCGTTTCTTTTAAGATACTGCTGTCAGTCTGATAGTGATATTGGCAATAGTTTTAATGAATGGTTAACCAG